ACGACAACCACGAGAGGACGACAACCAAGAGAGGACGACAGCCACGAGAGGACGACAGCCACGAGAGGACGACAGCCACGAGAGGACAATAAAACAAGAGAGGATAATAGCCAAGAGAGGATAATAGCCAAGAGAGGATGGTAGCCAAGAAAGGATGATAGCCAAGAGAGAACGACAGCCAAGAGCATGACAAGAGGTTCATAAAGACGAGGACAACTAAGAGACCGACAATGAGGATAAGAAATATTGATGAAATAATGAACCAGGAAGCGAAAGTCGATGATGGCAGCCTAGCCAGAGTCCAGGCATTGGCGGTGGTTGAGGGGAGGGGGCTGCTCGGAGGAAGCAGCCACAGCAGCGGCGGCGGCCGGTGCGGAGCTGGCGGGCCTTCGAGGCCACGCGCCTGCCTCCCGCCTCACGGGGGCGACAGCTGCGCGGCGCTCTTCCAAGGCCACCTGCCCCGCCGCCGCCGCCTGCAGCCGCCCGAAATACGGGTTGGCCTCCCCCACGCAGCGCCGCCGCCGGCTGCGTCGCCTGAGAAAGGCAGCTCAGCGGCCCCATGGGCGGCAGCCAGAGCGGAGCGCGGAACAGCGCCTCTTCCCACAACGCCCCTCCTCTACGCTCCGCTCAAAACCAGGGTGCGTCTGTTCCCGCTTGGATGGACCCCATACACCTTTGAGTTGGCTTTTAGACTAGGGATGGGCGATTAAATTGCGATTATTACAACAACTGAGTGTTTTACCAGATAAATCGACAAAGTAAAATCGATTATTTTTATACCGATTAATCTACATGTCGATTATATTTTCAAATAATTGACCTTCAGTATTTTAATTTAAGTATTAATGCTCAAGACAAAATTCAGAAGTATCCCTGCACACACACATACACATACACACACACACACACACACACACACTAGCTGCAAATTCATCGTCTATCTATTTCTAAATACTGAAAAATAATAATAGACAAACTTAAGTGATTGATTTTGTTATCGAAACTAATCAATTAGAAAATCAGTACGTATGTTTAGATATTTTAGTTTGGGCATTTTTAATAACTCAACTTTTCTTTTAATTTCTTCTGAAATCATATGCACACTCTAAAATATATTAGTGATTTTTAACGTTCAATGCATTATATAATCATGTGAAAATAAATCGATAATATTTGATTTATCGATTAATTCAGTGCGATTAATCTATGCATATTAATCGAAAAAATAAATTGATCCATTACCTCTCATTTGTTTTATATTTGCCTATTCCTATTCCAAACGTGTCTCACGTCTGTTGCAAATCTCTCCTTTTTTGAGGCCGAAGTTGGACAATGCAGCGTGGACAAACAACCGGCAAGGGAAATTTTTGTTAATTCCACTTGAAGGTGTATGAATCATTCTAAGACCACAATTAAACGAAGAAGTCGCCCTCGCGAATGTGGTTTGGGCCGCTTGCAAATCACATTTGCTCGTGGGTGCTTAGCTTTAAAACTACGGTTTATCAAGACGAGAGTTGGACGCTCGACAAACGAGTCATTACAAAAAATTGAAAATGTTATTTCTATGAAGAGGGAATTGACCCATTTGTTACAACAATTTTAACATAGTTGAAGGAGGTAATTTAAAAGTGCACGTACAATAAAAAAGCAAGTGTCTCATTGAAGAAATGTAGATAGAATAGGTAAATGTCGTAATTTTTTCACAAGAAAAGCATTCAACTTGGGAGGACCTGCAGTTCACAGGCCGTTCAATCCATGACATGGTTTAATGAAGCATTTCGACCTAATTTTTAAGAAACTTTGCACACTAAATGTATTTCTCACTACGGAAGAAAGTTTTACCGCGATACGACAAGAGATCCACTGCTCAGTGCGCTGTCAAATTGACGCCATCTTGCCCAAAAAATACCCAAGTCGCTTATATGCGTGTGAGAACAAGCATAAAAAAGTTTGTTTTAGACTGCAAGTGAACACACCTATATTTCTTACACCGAGGTTTAAAATAATCTGTACTGGGTAATTTAAGGATTTGTTGTACAATACAAAGTATTCACTATTTTGTGAAGGAATAAAAATGTTTGAATATCCCTCCGAAGGTTGGAGGTAAGAAGACAAATTATAAAGATTTAAAACTAAAGGATTTAAAAAAAGTGAATGGAGAAATAATCAGCAAATAATAAGCTCTGATTTAAAATACTGAAACCTTTACAACATACGTGGATTACTGGATCACGAATCCATAACATATTGTTATGAATTTGACAACAATGCATGTATTATCAAAAGTAATACTCAAGTTATGGATTGTAATTCCAATACATCGATATATTATGCAGCAGTGTTATTTGCGTGCATTGACTTTTCAAAATGATCTTTTCACTAATGCATATAAAGGATTTCGTTAAAAATAACTTACAAAATTAAAAATTCAAATCAGAAGGAATTAAAATGATATTAATCGCGTTAGCCAAATAACACTTCGCTTGCTTCGTTTTCGGTGGCATCAGATTATTAATTTATATTTGAGAGCTATTTTGAGGCATTTGGAGTTAAGGGTCTTTTTCTCAAGACGAAAACAGTACTCGAGCGTGTAAAATGTTCATGAAAGCGTATGGGAGGAGCAAGATAGTAAATTAGTCTTCTAAAGCACATCGTTTTCTGCGACCAGACCAGTATATGATTTATTCTTTAGAATTATGTTCAGTAGTTAAGGCTACCTAATGAATATAAAATAACAATTTGGTTCATTTTGTATGACGGAGAACAGTAACATAATTGGCAGGAATATCTTTGATTCTTCAATGCCGGCTACTACAAAGTTCTAGCATTCTAGCTGTCAGTTTACTACCTTTTCAACCGGGATGATTGCTTCAGAACGCAGGTAATCCGACCAACCAAAACCTCCCACAAAGTTCCAATAAAGTAGAACCTAATGTGCTTTACAGTCTCTAGCACCATCTATTTGAAACACCACACAACATTCGAAGTAAGTCTGAAGTACAACTTGATTACCCATTAAAACACCCCTCGCAGCTGTTAAAATTTCGAGTGGTGTTTTCAATCCTCCAACGACCCCATTCCTTTTTCATTGTTGTTATCCCCTACATAGATACTTTTGTGCATTCCCTCTCGTTTCAGTTCACAACTTGCACATTGAGGATATCGGACTTCAAATATTTTTGAAATTGGGTTGAAATTTGAACTCCAAAACACCAGAACCGAGATACAGAACTCGCAAGGGGAAATGATTTGATGGTACACATACCGCGTCGTAACTTTACACCCAACCCTATCAAAACACAAGAGATATCCGTACCAGTAGTTTGCGCGCGGATGTGTTTGAAACATCACAGTACTTGCACAGCAGCAGGAAATACTACTAGATACGGTGAGCACAAACCTCAAGTAAGATACTCGTACCTGCCGCACACTATGTTTTAAAGTACTAAATGAATTGTTCAATGAAATTCAGTAATAAATTCGGTTAAATAAAATGGCAAATTAGCTTACACTGTTCGAAATCAAAAAAAAGGAGATGCGATCTTTTATTAATTATGTAAGCTATTCTAGTGTTTTCGCAAATAATTTTTTAACCTACTCCCTCTTGAATTTTTTTGCAGTCTTTCGCGTTTTGACAAATGTTACCTATAAATTAATCGCACAAATTCATAACTATAATTAAAGGAATGATTACGTTTCATTCCACTAGTACTTATTAATTTAAATTTGATTCTTATAAGAATGTCCATTTTTCACATTGAAAACAGTAAGCAAACCATAGTGAGAGTTACAAAAATGACAATATGCCCTGCTTTAATTATTCGAACCCAACTTGATGGTTTGAACAGGACACGAACGTGAACTGTATCTCTTTTGGTATTTCAGAGCCACATGACGTTGCACCGACGGCAACCACCAACTGGTAAACGAGAAAATTACTAGAGATAGTGTCGCTATCCCGCAGAACCAGACCAAGAGCTGCGTGCCTAGAAAGGTCCCAGCGGCTACAGCGAACACGAGTGCGAGCGTTGTATCCATTCATTTTGGACGAACATCGCTTCGGGGNNNNGGGGGGGGGGGGGGGGGCACCGGTCAATACGAACGCCACACAAAAGCATGCCGCATTGTGTTGTTCCCGGGCCTAAGTGCCACGAATTTACGCGTCTATCCATTCACATTGCCCCGATTACCGAATATATAGTGGAAATCTAATAAAGTACGGTTTGAGAGCGACACAAACGAAGATTTGCACCCGTGCCGCGTTCGGAGCACTCCACTCCCACGATGACGACCGAACGAAGCACACAATGTTTGAACTCGCGCCCGCCGCGCCAGCGCGTTCCCCTTCATGCACACGCGCGCACACGCACAATGCACACAGAATGTATGAAGTGCGCGTAATTATACACGGTACAACACGAGTTCGCTCTAACGCGCTGATATTCTGCAGCAGAATTAACTTATTTTAAAAGCTTTGGCCGTGGACTGCCCGGAACATGGTTCCAGTTGTTTCCTGCCCCAGAAATCGGTTTAATGGGTTGCTACACACGTTCCAATGGCAAGAACATACAAAATAGTTGTTTTCATGTTGTTGCTGGGCATAGCTGTAACGTTTACTGTGGATTCTCAAGAAACAAACGCACTGGGACTGTTGTGTTTTGATGTCACTCATTTCACATTCTCAAAAATAACTAAAATGACTAACTAAATAAAAGAAAGCTATCTGCAAAACAATCAGAGATAAAGGAAAAAAGTTATTTCTACAAATAGTTATATTTTTTGCGAAGATCCTAATGTTCTCCAAGATCATCAACTGGAAATGGAAGTTCTGCACACATGACACAAAACAAAACAATGCTTATTCACAACCACTGAACACTTAGATCTAACTGTGTCATTCGAAGGTTCCATTAACTGCAAACCGAGAAACACTTCCTCACACGTCTCCCACCAAGTGATCGGTCGCATCCCGGACTCCAGTTAAACGGACCGTCGCCTACCTGTAGAGTCTCCATACGACCTTCTCCCGCGCGGGGTGTCACCGTCAGCCGACGGGCTTGATGTATCCAAAGGATCCAAGGCGTCGCCGTCACCCACCACATGTTCATCGCATTGCACAGTCACCATCAACACACACGCGAACCACCCGGCCGCCGCCACCAGGAGCCGCCGCCGCCGCAGCGGCATCGTCGCACATGCGCGCCGCACGCCCGCCATGACACTACTGAGGCCGGCAGGCGCGCACGCCGCGCGCCGGGCGAAGGCGCGCCCGAAGGCAGCCGAAGAAAGCCGAAGCGTTTTTCTGCGCCCCGGGGCGTCATTATGCCGTTTCCGCTGCGCGGCGCGGCTCCGCGCGGCTCGGCGCGGCGATGCCCAGGATGCTTATAGAGCGCGCTTCGCGGAAGGGTGCGCTTGACATTGAAACCCTTTTTTTAATCCTACGCCCTACAGGTAGACGCGCAGGATTCTTTTTACCGATCGACGAGCGATTTCTTTCACTCAAGTGTCAATATGATTGAGAGGCGATTTTGCGGTGGAAGAATTTTGCGGGCGCTTTTGATATAAAATATTTAATGAGAGTAATTTCGATCTATGTTTTGTACCATTTCTCATGCTTGATTTTTTGTTATAAGCGATAGGAACTTAAGTTATATAAAAAATAAAGAGTTGTTTTTTTGAGTTTCTTAAAGATCTGAAGAACGTTCAATGTTGGGAGTTGTTTGGGATCAATGTGAGCTGATTTCATACAAAAAAGAAACCAATAACAATGTACACAAAGATTAAGATTGTCTGCCCTCGATCATGTGTGCTTACAGCAAAAAAATTACACAGACCATTTGAAACAGTGAAATTCTTTAACGTTTTATGTGCGCCCATTAATTTTTAATATGTACAAAAATTACACAAGAAGAGCTAATAGAAAGTTAATACACATTTAATATGAATACCGCATTCATGCGTTCGATGTATAATACTCTACGCTTCTTATTGCAATTGCAGCTTTCGTTTATTGTCCGTGAAACTCAAGTTTTTTTTTTGTTTCACCTCAACAACTTTTATATCTCAAACTCTAAATTTACGCAAACACATAAATTGCCACATTATCTTGAAACTCAATAATAATAATAATAATAATAATAATAATAATAATAATAATAATAATAATAATAATTCCTACAAGACATACTATGTACAACTTACAAACTCAAAATAAATTAATCAGTAATACATCCAAAAAATCAAGTTCAGCCTGAAAATCGGTGACATGTATTTAATAATTATTTATATAACAAGGTGTTTCAGTTTTATTCACGAGGGAAAAATGTTAGGTCTAGATCGCGCTACTCCGAGAGAAAAATCTTCCGAGTGAATTAAAGTCACTTAATCCCAAGTCATATACTTTTTTGTAATATTCTTTTTTATTCATTGGGTTCAAGACTCTTTTTTAATGGCTATAATATTGTGCTGCAGTACCTTTTTATCACCTATTGGTAATAAAAGATTTAAAATCTACTCTCCTAGACGTTCCGGACGGCGACGCTTGCGCTCCTGGCGGCAGCGCAGCAAACTTTTTGTCTTTAGGTAACATAACATTGTTTATTTTGTTTCACTCAAATAAAATGAAATCAAATATTTCACACGATAGTACAGATATTTACCGTGTTGTATACAACATTATTATTTCTTTATATTTTTTGCTTAATTTGAAACCACCTAAACATGTATGCTTTATTTGCTACAGGCTGTCACTATAAACAGTTTCAAAATTTTCTGAACCGTATCCCAGTTAGCTAGGGTCTGCTTTTTCGGATCGCTTATTACTATCCATTATGATTTGACTGAATTTTACTACCGGCTTCGTGACTTCAAATAGTTAACAAAATCGTTCTTGTATGATTGAGTAATACTTACGTGGGTCGACATCCTATCCAGTACGGATTAGGTATTCTCTGAACATTTACTCTCCTGAAAAATAAAATACTGAGTATGCGGATTCTGACTATTAAATAAATCAGCTTTCTTTTTTCAATTACACAGTTACATAATTTATTAATACTAAGTTCGTTATTTTCTTTCCGAATTTTTCTTTATGAAATCAACTCTAATTGGCGTGTTACTACATTTAAATATTATTTACGTAATCTATTACAGCAGTTTTGTTTATTGTTTCCAACCGTCAGCTGGTTTCTCTTTGCGACTCGATGGGACACATATTTGAATATAGACTAGGCACCAACAGACTTGTGGGCTGCTTTGATACGGAGTCAGCTGAAAGCGCGGGCTTCCGCGACAACTCACATATGAGACAAGGGACAAATAACCATGGCCAAGGCGGGACTCGAACCCGCGGTCCTTCGGACCGAAGCGCTATTTCGCTACATGCTCTAAGCTACTCCCTCGGCCATCGAAGTCGGCCACATTTAATTCTTGTCATGTCCAATGTTCTCTTCGTAAATATTCTAAGCTACTCCCGTATTGTCATTTCTGGACACCTGTGTTTGGAAATCAACTATTATTTCATAATTTTAAAATCAAACTTTCCCTTAGTATATCTGGGCCCATCTCAAAACTTAAGCAAATGATTAAAGTCAATAAATCGCAAATTGCTTAAAATTTAAACCATTTATTTCAAAAGTATTTTGTAAGTCTGTAACATTCGTACGTAAAAGATCTGGGCTGAAAACAGTATAAAATAAAATAAAATAAAAACTAAACTCGATGCTGTCTTTCAACGTGAGTCAATATACTCTGGTTTGCGCCGTGTTTGTATTAATGAGACGTTCTGTTCAGAGTAGTAGAATGGAAGCAGGGCCGCAGTTTGCTTTCTGGCGGAGACCTACGTAAGTACCGCTCGCCATTGTTCATCGACGCCCGCCGCTCTCAGCCTTCTTTTCTTTTACTTTTCGCGAAGCAGTTCCCACGGCAGCGCGTTTCTGCGCCGGGAAAGACTGAAGGAAAAAACATGGCGAACTCCATGCAGCTAGCGCCAGCGGAATTGAAGGCCATATTTTATAGCGCCGAACTTTCTATAGAAGCTCTTACAAGTAAATGTGCAAGAGAGACCTTCAACTGTGTTATTAATTTAATGTAGCCACGAAAGTGCTATTCAATGCACATTCATTACATTACTGTAATAGTATTTTTAGAAAGGATGTAATGAACATTTCAAAACCAAGCTAGATCAGATCACTTCTCATTGAAAGACGGAGAAAAGGTTAGAATTGTCCAAGGACATCGGAGTTTTCTTATCGTGTTCTGTCGTTCTTGTATCGACTGTAAGATTCTTCTGAAGACAGAACTGCATTGCCCACAAAGTTCATTTGCAGTTTAAAGTGAATACTACTAATAAAATGTAATAATACTTTCCTCCTACTAAAATGTATGCATTGATGTCAATCGGCACTTTTTGAAACTTTTGAAATCCATTGAAATCAGTGAGTGTGCGCACAGGGAGTGTTTACATTTAAAAATACGTACTAACTTAAATCCGTGTATGGAATTTAAAAAAGTATATTATTCTTGTTCATTAAGTGTTTTACAGAGATTTTCAAATGAAAAATTTTAAATATTTTCCTTTCCCACAGTCGAGAGGGTAATAACCTTTATCCATGTGATGTTAATAATAAAATATTTTATTTAATATTGATTGCTTCCTGGTGCGTCAACTGCTAAGGTCATTAGTCCCGTGAGTAGTGCATGTTTTTAGGACAGAAAGTTGCGGTGATCTTTCCCCGCTGGATGGCGAGTTGTTGCTCAGACCTACCCGTCATTATTACTTATCTCTTGAACCTGGGGCTAGTAACAAGCCGTAGACATATTGTTTGAAAACATTTTTAGTTTTCGAAGAATTTCACCATCTTTGAAATTTTAAATGTATATAAATTTTTCTCACCAACTCTGTGTACATCTTAATAGGAAAGCAATTATCTATCATACGTTAATATTTTGATAGTAATTTTATTTTAAATAAGATTTCTGACATACAGGGAGTCCTACAACTATGATCCATCCCCATGACTTCTAAACGGTTCATGATATCGATGATATCAATTGTTTTCGTTTAACAATGCGGAACCAGGGGGCAATTAAAATGCCGTAATGATATTGTTTGAAATATTTTTAGATTTCGAGAAATTTAAACATCTTTTATTTTTAAATGGAATTATATATTTCTCTTGCTAGCAATTGCTAGATCATACAATCGAAATATTTTACGAAATTTATGTACTGTACATCATAAATTTTGTAAAATATTCCGAAATATGCCATAACGACATACTCATGATCATGCACAAATGTAATATTTTACTTTAAAAGAGAGTTTTTCAAAACGACTATTTTCTCATGGACTTTATCCCATAATGCACTGCATTTCCCAAAACTGGACTGAATGCACTGAGTTTCCCAAAACTGGATACTCTTCGTCGTTTAGTTTTGTAAATAATTAACGTTAAACTTTGGACTTTACGCTTGTGCTCGTTTAATATTGGCGACGGCAAGTAAGCGAGTGGCTTCACCTAGCGTTAGGGGGCTCACCACTTCTTTGGAAAACTCAATTACTAATACTATCCGAGAAGCCCCGCAAGCGTACATGAGGCAAAAACCGCGCAAGGTCAAAGAATCACAGTCCGTCGCCTGGCGAATAATTCATGCGGAGTGTTTACGACTTTTCCATTTCCAGCAGGTGCAGCATTGACACAGTAGAGACTTATAACGTCGTTTTCAATTCTATAGGCATTTTCTGCGCTAATGCAAAGAAAACCCGGAATTTCGTTCTTTGGTCAGGTGAAGCGTGTTTTACAAGAACTGGGACAATTTATGTGCACAATTTGCACGTGAGGACCGAGGAATTTTGTATGTTACACTTAATGTAGCTCACCAAGAGCTATTCTCTGTAAATGTGTCGGTTGACAATGTGGATGAATTTATCCTCGGTCCTCACTTATTACCTGAGCGTTTAGTGCAGTTTCTGAATTGTATAACTCAGGGACATCCAACACTTTTTGAGCTGGGGTTGTAACGTTTCGTATATTCTTACTTTGTTTATTTATGTCGTAAACAACTAAAGGATGATGTTCTTCACTTGTCTGTAATGAGGTTATGAACGTGGATACTGGAAAAGAAGAGAGAGAGACAGAGAAATAGATAATTGTTTGTAATTCAAGATTCTTACATGACTATTGTAACATGCAAAAATGCTGAAGTTTATTGAAATAAAGATTTAAAAAAAGAAAATCTA